TTGTACTGCACTGCTACAAAAAACGTTTTTGCCGTGGGCGGCACGGTGGCTGAGTGGATAGCACTCTCGCCTCTCAGCAAGAAGGTCCTGGGTTCGAATCCCGGCCGGACCAGGGCCTTTCTGAGTGGAGTTTGCATGTTCTCCCCGTGTCTGCGTAGGTTTCCTCCGGGTACTCCGGTTTCCCCTACCACTAAAAATATGTACAATAGGTATGGCATGCGCCTCCTGTTCGGCGACCCCGCTCCCATCTCTGTGTGGAGTGAGAGGACAAGTGCTCAAAAAATAACAATTGTAAACCGCTTTGTGACTCTGGTCTGTGAAAGGCGGTATATAAATAAAGCTTACTTACTTACTTACTTACTTTTTATACGGTATGCAGAAGCACACACTGTAGAGGATGTGTGCAGTTTCAACAATTAAAATAAAGTGCAATAGTCTACGTTACAAGAGAGTAACATGTCACTACAGTGAGGGCACGGACCAAAACTATTGTTTGTTACAGGGATGAGAATGGGACATTTCAAAAAAGTCTGAAATACATAATGTCAGCCAATGGCTGTCATTAAATCTGTTTGTTTGTTCACAGCATTTTACTGTTGGCACAACCAACATGAGCTGTTAATGCGAGGGAAAATGTACGTACCCCAGCTTTAATTTTACGAGTTTAGGAGGAGACACGGGGGGGCATGGAAACGTCAGGAGGCTCAATCATCCAGCTCTGTGTATTGGAGAGGTTTATAAAGACACACAACAAGAAAAGAATGGTCCTATGTGTGCGTGTACGGTCCTGGGAACATTATGACCACAGGCTGCACGCTGCCGTTGACAGAGCGGCTCACAGCTCAGACACAACTGATGCACAAAGTGATGAGCCAACGTGTGCATTCCCGCACAGTCAAGACCCGCGATGGTGGTCAAAAAGCGCGCACAGCCGAGGAGCGTGCACAGCCAAAGAGAGCGCACCGCCATAGAGCGCGCACAGCCAGCGCCCACAGGAGAGCGCGCACAGCCTAAGAGCGCGCTCTCTTACCAGCCCCTGTGAAATGGTTGGATCTGGAGGGTCAGGACTCGCAAGTCCAAAAACAACGAGTCCGAGTCAAGTCCCAAGTCTTTAGGGGACGAGTCCGAGTCGAGTCGCAAGTCTCTAAAAATAGCGACTCGCGAGTCCCCATCTCTGGTTAGCACACTAGCTTGGTCAATACAAATCACATTTGAAACAGTCTAAAATGAGTCATTCGTAATAAAAAATACAATGAACATGATGTTCATAATATTTATGTTTACAATTTTAGAGAGGATTGTCCAATCAAAGACAAGAATGAGAATCTTATTTGGGTTCCCAGTTAGTTAGGTGAAATTTAGCTGGTTTTGTTCCTTTTTCCAAGGCAATTTTTTTATTTAAGCAGAAACAAAACAAAAAGTAGTCATGAGTTTTTACCATATCTAGCTAATCTCCAGCAGCTGGTATGCATCAGTACTTAGTGCTGAGGAGCTACATGTGTCACAGGCAAGAATATTACATATGTGGTTCCTTTAAGTAATGCCATTTGTTCAATATTACATTATTTAATACAATTAAGACTTAACTAGTACATTCTCAAACTGATTGTATGTGTGGGTGGCATTCTGTCAAGGTAATTAAACAGGAGAAAAAATATTACATTAAGGTGTATTTATCACTGCATTTCGAGTTAGTAGAAGAAGAAAAAGTTCTTTCTTGTCTTGTTGACTTTGAAACACCACTGTTCTGAACATAATGACTGTGCTGTCCCCAATGTGAATGTTGATTAACACAATAATTGGCCTTTATCATAGTTCTATTGCTTTATGCCCTTGACTATGCAGATGAAGCAAACAAGCTTTGCAAACACGCTTTTATTTTCTGTTAGTATAAATCAATAGGAGTCTATACAAAGCTTTCATTTCTATCCACTCAATTCAGAAAAAGGATTTTGTATGTAAATCAATGATTAAAATCCATTCTCATTTCATCTTCTTTGCTTATCAGCCCGTAACTCTGACTGAAAAATTGCACACAGACTCTTCTCTTCTGTTCTAAATTCTTGCGTTATCGCTGTGTAACAATTTGTTGCTATTATTATTTGTTTTTCTACGCTATCTTATTGGCTGCTTCACTGATAGGAGAAGGGGGACAGGGGTGAAATTGTGTTATTGTGAGTCGAAGTTCCTGGCTGGAGGCGGCTCATGACTTTTGTTCTAATTTTATTGAGGTATGCGTCGTTTCCTCATCAAGAATAGTTCATGCCGGGACATTGTGTTCTGATGCTTTTATTGTCAAATTGATTTGTTCAAAGCAGTTTCTGACATGAAACAAATTATCAACAGTTTTGGAATGTGTTTTTGAAAGAGGTCTGGCGATATGTTTTTTTCGGACTAACAATGATGTAAAAAATTAGCAAGGCAGATAACTGATGTAGAGCCAATATTAATTTGCAGTTTTAACATATTCTCACCAATTTGGAATAATACAAACTTTTCTATATATTTGCATATTTTTATAATTAAAAAAATTTAAACAGCTTCCAATGTTTAGATGTTATTGTATGTGACAGCAGAACACATATATATATTTCCCGCACAGAACTGGGAAAAAAAGCTTTTGTATACGCTGCTCCTTCTACATGGAATGTGTTGCAAAAAGACTGGAAATTATCTGACTTAACTTATTTCTTTGAATGCTTTTAGATCCAGATTGAGAGCACTTGAGACATCCTCATTGGAATGTAACTGTTTTTTATAATCCGTAGTTTTATGAAATTGTATGTGACTATTTTTATAATATGTATGTTACTATTTTATAATCTGTAATGTATGTAACTGTATGTAACTTTTGTCCAAGACTCCCTTGAAAAAGAGGTTCTTCATCTCAATGGGACTTTCCTGGTTAAATAAAGGTGAAAAAAATAAAATAAATTGGATTGAGCTCCCAGGTAACACAAACTAAACTATTCCCATCAGTAGGGATTCAGGAATACAGTTGGAATTTATAGCGCTTTGTTCCGCGGTAGCCTGCTTGTTTTTTACTATGAACACTTGCCGTTTTAATACTAGAACACATCATCTATGCTTAATTTTCTGCATGCTTGTAAGATGAAATAAGATAAGAGAACCTTTATTCATCCCAGTGGGAAAATTTGTAGTTTTAGTCTCTTCACAATGGCTACATATAAATGCAACTTTAAACTTGCTTCCATTGAGATGATATTGCTCTGCCCTGTTATGGAAGGCTGTTATTAGTAATATACCACCCAATCAAAATGAAATAAAAATAACAGAAAACATTTACATGTATACATAATCCAGTAAAATCTGAGTTTACCCTGCATTCTTCCGAAGTCTCACTGCATCAAAATCTCGCTTGTACAATAGCAGTGTTTGCTGATACTCAAGCAGACAAAGGCTGCCTGTCTTCTGTATCTCTCCACTGCTGCGCGTCTTCACCTCGCTGTCATATCAAGCCGCATGTAGTGAGATAGACTGTCAGATTCTCACCCCCTTTTGGTCTTTTTGTGTCCTAGTCGTCCTCCGGCTGCAAAAGTGCGCGACCCACATCTGTCTATCTATTCTGCAGCCTCAAGTGTTTGGACCTCCAACACCCAAACTGACACATGAAATAACAGCGGGATGAAGCAAATTAAAGTGGCTATTTGACCTAACCCAGTCAAGCTCAATCTAAATTGCACTGGATGAAACAAAATCAGTTGAGTTTGTGTTTACAGTCCAGTATAATTTTGAAATGATTGAAAGCTGGGAGCAGATGTTGTTATATTAATCATCAAAAAAATAATGCATCAGTTTTATAACACGCTTTTTTGAACAGTCAAAGATGCTCAATGTTATTCTTTCACCCCATACACGGTGGTGCAACCACTGTAGCCACAGCTGCCCTGGGGCACACTGACAGAAGCCCCTCCAACTACCACCAATTCAGTCTAGGCCTTGTGGGTGAATTGGCGCAGAATACAGCTGCAGCCGCACCATTGCGGCACCTGGTGTTCCCAGAGGTCTCCCATCACGGTATTAACCAGGGCCCGTCCTGCTTAGCTTCAGAGGTCTGGCAGGATCAAGCTTTCACATGCAGGTGGCGCCACAATATTACTCCAACAATTGCAAAAAAAGTATTGTCATCAATAGAAATTATTTTGCTATCAGGGCACAGCTTAAGCCTTGAAATGTGTTTTTTAAAGTTAATTACTACATTTTTACATTCGTTTCATCATGGTGCACTTCATCATTTTTTTCTGAATTATTACAGATTTAGTCGCAGCTAGTTCAAACCCCTGAACTGAAGCCGTGCAGACTTCATTAGAAGCAGAAATGTTTTCGAGTTGAAAAGCCGAAAGTTTTAATGGTCGACCCCTGAAGGTGAAATGATCGAGTCACATGAGAGCTGCATTTAAAACAGTGTGGGTGTTTTCAAATAAATATCTCAAAAAACATTTATTTTTTTATTTTTTTACAATAACACTTAACATTTCTGTAAATATACTGACTCATCTCAAATGAAAATCTTAAAACCCTAAAAATCCATGTAACTAGTTCATGGCTCTCAACACGTGTGGTTCTATCATCAGTTTCCACATGCTAACAAATTTAAGAGATTTTAAATAAGATGCCAAATTATTTTTTCTCTCAACTTCAGTTAGAGGTTGTCATAAAATATATATTTACTGTAACAACCTCAGCTAGCCTTTGATTGAATACAGTTTAATTCCTATAAAATGCTTTTCCTTTAATTAGACTGCCCAGAATGTTGCACCTAACGTATACATATTTAAGGTCTAATAAAGAATTCGAAGTTTGTCCATCTTCTTGAAATCTGCTTAGATGTGGATGACGACAACTCTAAGTCCTGAGATACTGGTTGAAGAGCCACTTTGACATTGTAAGAAAAGTGAAGTGTGTTGATAAATATGTAACAGATCAGACATTGCTCTTTTAAATAATTCAGAGAGTGGGTTTTGCTCCGGTGTCCTCAGGGCGGGATGATTGCTCTTCTGCTCTCCGTGCTGTGCCTGGTCCTCATCCTGTACACCAGGAGGCGCTGGTGCAAGCGTCGCCGTATTCCGCAGCCCCAGAAGAGCGCCAGTGCAGAAGCAGCGAATGAGATCCACTACATTCCGTCAGTCCTGATGGGGGGACAGGCCCGCGAGAGCCTCAGGAACTCCAGGGGACAGGGGCCCAACAGCGGCACCCTCAGCATCAGGGAGACCCCAATACTGGATGGATACAAGTAGGTTCAGTGCACACACAAAATTTTAATCTCGGACAGAGGTGGATCAACGTTTGGACGATTAAGTACAATTGAACTGAAATTACAATATTCAATTGGCTCAAAATGGCTTAGACAGCATTTACTGTATTTTGCTTGTAGAAAGTGACTAACAATAAGCAAAAAATCACTTGAATTTCGGGAAAAAATATATTTTGATTTGAGTATGCTTAAAAGATTTGTCAATGGAACAAGCAAGTACACAGCAAAAAGTGATGAAAAATTTGTCAAAAAAGTTGGCTAAATGTATCTTAATTTGAGCACATTTTGACTGCCTTAAAACAAGATTTACCAACGGTACAAGAAAACATATCTTATTTTAAAAAGATACAAGACATGCCTGCTTTTGAATGCAAAAATAAAGAAACTTTTCTTGAAATAAGACTAAATGGTTGTTTGGAAAAAAGACCTGTTTTAAGACAAAAACCACTTGATTGAAGCAATTATTACATTCTATTTTATATTGTTGGACAGAAGCCTCAACTTCACATTTTAAGTCCAATCCTTTTTTATAATTCATAAACTGAGTCAAGAATGTTGTGAGAAAAGATATACTTAATTTGTGTTTATATATAGAGTATCTAACATTGTTCACACTCAATATTTTATACGTGAAGGAAATGGTTGTACTATAGGTTAGAAGTCTTTTGTCTGAAATGTGCGGGAATTGTTCACGAGTTAGTTGCTTCATGAAGATGTATGTTTTATTAAAAGAGAAGAACTTGCGTCTATGTTTAAAAAGTCGATTGAAAATTGCATTGTAATCGAACTTTGTTAGAAATATTGCAATTCGATATTTTGCTGAAATTGTGCCCCTGGATGGTCCAGCAATTGCTGCTCTCACAAGAATGTCAGTAGACTATCCTGGTTGGATAAAAGTCATTTAGAACAATTACATTAATGTCATGAAAATATGTTTTGTATGAAATGTAAAATGTCTCTGTCTCTGACTAAAGTAATATAATGAAAATATAAATTGAATATGTTTAATAACTATTGGCTGACTGTGATAAATGCACCTACCATTTTAATGTCAGTCTTAATGTCCCTTGTACTGTACCTGACCCCTTTTTACACCACATATAATACAGTGAAATTCACTAACTGGACTTTTCTTCTGGTCTAGGTATGAGTATGACATCACTGACCTGAGGCACCACCTGCAGCGCGAGTGCATGAACGGTGGAGAGGAGTTCTCCAGTCAGGTCACCCGCACTTTGGACTCACTGCAGGGCTGCAACGACAAGAACAACATGGACCTCACACCTGGTAAGAGCTCATGTCCACAGGAGCAGCACTTAGCCTAGGGTGCGGTCACACTTGGTCCAGTTGATTTGAACTCTGTGCAGTGGGGTTTGGGAGTTTGGGACTACATCTGGATCACTATGCCTCATTTTTGGAGATTCGAAAGAACCAAACAAGTGTAGACTGGTCTATTGGTCACAAAAGTCAGATGATCTGGTTAGTCTGGTTTAACTGGGCCAAGGCTGGTTCACTTGGGGGGAAATGAGTGTTTTGCGGATCTGTTTCAAAAGATGTGAAATGACTTAAAGTGAAGGTCAGTTACTCTCCTCCATAAAATCTTATGGTGATGGTTGTTCCAAGTTGAGGGACTTTTTTTTTATTTTCTATATATGTTCATTTTGAAAAAAGGGTTACAGATGATACTACAGGGTCATACAGTCACACATATATAAGATGTAGACATCACCTTTAAGTGACTTGTTGACCAGTGGACATTTGTTTTGGTGGTTTTGCATCCTCAAATATTTTTTCTTTTTGTCCCCAAGTCAACCATAATTGTTCTAGACCATCAAGCCTGAATGTGATTTTCTGCAAGGACACAACATGATGTTTTCTTTGACATTCCTTGTTATCCAAACACACACCGGATTTGGTGTTAGCACTCAATCTGCTGCTCCCAAAGGACTTTACTCATCGACAGATCTGACGTATCTCCTGCTTCTCTCCATCCAATTGAATCGACTTTATTTACATAGCACATTTTACAAACACAGTTTATCAATCACTCAAGTTGTTTATTTCAGAACAGGAGCGACACAAATCCGACTCTGTACGTACATGTTTTGAAAAGTGCTGCACAATAAAAATAGCAAAACATTTAATCTATCCAGTTATAAATCATGAGTAGAAGAATGCTGATGGATATGTTTAATTATGTACATAATAGAGGAAATAGAAGTAATAAGATCCATGGAGGTAGTAAAGTTACGGGCTAACCGTCAATCAACAGTTCGATTTCAACAAAATTCTGATATCAATAAGTATTAAATGAATGTACTAATAGTAATGCAATCTCAAAAAAATAAATGACAATAATCACATTAACATGGATAATTACTGTGTTAAAGAGCTTTTTGTTTCATTTCCCTAACACTTTCTAGTCATAGCTGCAGCCTAAGTATATAATAATACATAAACCAAATACATAATTAAAGTGTTGGTGGAGTTTAGCGTTGTCCCGTTAGGATTGGGTTTGTGAAGCAAGTTGTTTTGAACTATGTGCTTCTCAGAATGGGAATGAGCGGCGGTTTCTTGTGCATTATTGTGAGATCTGTTATGATGACAGAGCACTCACTCTCAGCGCCTATAAAGCCTGACTGCCCCGCCTCACGGAGCAGTAATCCTGGGCATTATGCATTTAAGATAGAAGAGAGCTGTTAGCGCAATGGACCGGAAAAAATAGAGGATGCAAGCGGCTGGGCTATGCATAGAATATTCATATTCAAAAACACTGCAGAGGTCAGTCAGTAATTTGTATTAAACCAGCATTATGTCACTTGTGATTCCACCGACCTTTCTTACAGATGCAGAGTTCATTGTGCATGTGTTATGTAATTGTTTTTGCACAGTATATCTGGTCTTTTAAAGCTGGGGTACCTTTATTAAAATGCATGAATACATTTAGTTTGTCCCAACAGAAAGATTCTTAGCACATCAGACCACAAAAAGATTAGAAACTTCTATATTTTTCATACTGAGAGCTGATTGGCTGATTGAGGGATGGTACTAAATCGGATTTAAAGATGTGACAAAGGCCAAAAATAAATGAATGTGGAAACTAGTGATAGAACCGAACCACTTTAGAATGGGACTAGGAACTAGTCACATGAATTCTGTAACTTCCTGTAAACTTTAATCAAAAAGAGTTGAATAGGTTGTGTGTTAACAGTGTGAAGCATATACCTGAGCATAATCGTTAGAAAATGACATGAATACATATTAAAATACAGTGAATACAGTCAATAAAAGTCCATGTCCATCTGTAAAATGTAATAAAAAAACGAAAATTACATGAACAAATATATTTAAAAAAAATACAGACAAAATATCAGAGGTCCCAAAAAATAAGAATAGATGTATGCACATAAATCCACATACACACATTCCCTACACATTTTAGATTGAATAGAAATATGTTGGCGTATAGATATAGTGTAGTGATCTACTGTAAGCCGCACACTAGATGCATTTTCACACGGCAGGTTTACTGGCGGACAGGACTTGGCATCCGTGCTTCATATCCAGCTCTTGTGTACTTCCACTATCTCTGAATTGTTTTGCTGTCTGCAGTGAGCGACAACACAAAGCTGGCTCTGATGAATAAATACAAGGACAACATCATTGCCACGAGCCCAATCGACAGCAACCACCAACAGAACACACTCCTACCTCACAACACGTCCACCAGTCAGCGCAAGAGGCTGTCCAGCAATACCAGAGGTGAGCCATATCTGCAACAAACAAGAGGAGAAAGGCCACTCAAGTTCAGCCATGTTCTTTAATGTGATGAGCCAGGTATAATGAGGGCTGACATCACCATAGACTTTATATAGGAATGGACAGTGCAAACCTGTTTCCGTAATAAACCCTATTAGGGGAGTGCTCATGGATAAAATACTACTCCAATTGATTTGGTAAAGTCCTTTAGCTCTGTAACTGTTTGTGTTACGCTCCCAATTTTGGGTGTAAAAATCTGTGTTGGAATGCTTTGTATAATCCTGGGGTCTTTATTTTGAGCATGTCTCTCTGTAAATGTGAAAAATGACAAACAAGTCACGTCCCGCCCATCCCCATATTTGGACTCAGCTTGCAACAGTGTGAGCAGGGACAAACCAGAGCCATTCCTGATTGGCTCTTTGGTTGCTGGGTAGTTGCCACCCTCTCATTTGGCTCCAGATTCCTGCCCATGGAGCTCAATTTATCAGTTCATCCCACAGGTTAGTGCTATAGTGACTTGAGCAATCCTTTTCCACAGTCCATTGAAAAAAAAAAAACATAAAAAAGAAAAAATATAATTTCTATTATAGACAATAAATTATTGGTAAATTGTATCTCTAAGCGTTGATGAAGTACACTGCTTTCATTTCAGTTTTGCAGTCTCCAAATTTGTTATTGAGATTATATTAAATATATATATTATTAAATTTGTTTGAGATTATACCACTTTGAACAAAACTAGGTCAATATTTGGGAATTCCTAATGAGGTAATAGCAAATGCAATGTAGTGCAAAAAGTGAGACAGAGAGTAGTAACATGAGGCAATCAATTATGTATAAAAATGATAAAGGATTTCTCAACTTCTCTGCGTGAGAGTTGAGCTCCTCGTGCCCTTTCATTTTGCAGGTGCATTGATCAATGGTTTGAGGCACGCATTTTTTTTATTCTCAAGCATTTATCACACACGGTGGTATAACAGGCCAGAAATCACTGCAAGTCACTGAATGCCACCATAGACTAAAACGTTGACAACAGCGAATGCCCTTTGCAAACTCCCAAGGGCCAGGAAACATTTTCGACTCCTCAGACAGGGGTAATCAATAGCACGGCCATGCAGGAGAGGCTGTGCGCCATTTTTAGGGCAGTGAAGAGTAACGCATATATGAAAAGCAGTGGAGTTTTGTTTTAACATCAGGAAAAGATCAACTTAGGGTTGCCGGCATGTGCACAATGTTCTCCAATTATTCTAAACAAAAGAAAAGTACCTGTGACATTTTGAAATGCCATCTTATAAATTTACAGTTGAGAGATAAGTGGCCTTCTGTTTCATTTTCTCTGAAGATCATGAGAGTGTGTTGGTAAAAAGCCAGTCAATTTTGAGTGATGATGTTTATTGTTGTTGCTGAACTCATTATCACTGTCCAGTCATTGTCATTTCGCTCAATCATCTATAATTTAAGTTTAGATCCATTATGATTTTATTAGACATTGCCTTTTTAATGCATCAATGTGACTTCTATTACATTTGATGATGACGCCCGCTCCATTTTTGAAGCAATTACCATTATTCCAGCAAACACACACACACACATAATGGGGAGTCCTTTTGACAAGAGCTTATTTTTTTTTCGATATCTTCTCAAAGTAACTCAACAATATGTCTTCATTTTCTTTTCACTCACAAGCTTACAAGAGTCTTCAGAATGTTTCTTTCATTGTCACTGAAATTTAAGCATTCAAAATAGTTGCCGTGATTGGGCAAAGAGGCTTCTAATAATTATTTTTTAAAGTATCAAAAATCTGTGCCAGTAGTTTGCAGCAGGAGCCCCAAACTTTAAATTGGAGATTGGGATTATATAAGAGAAAAGTGTTAGAGATGAAAATGTAAAAGTTGGTTTGGGGAGACTTTCTAAGCGGACGAGAAATGAAAGTACAGTGTATGAGCTCTCGTGTTGGAATTCGTTATTAAGTAACTTTTGCATCACTGCTTCATCTCTTGCACCATGTCATCGCTGCAGTGGTGAATAATGTAGGGATCTAACCCTGTAGTGATTGCTCTTGTGTCTGTGTGTTATCCTTGGAGTAGTAGTAAAGAGAGATTTTTAAAAGTATAAAAAATAGTAATAATTCAAACAATGTTAAGCTGTTTGAAGGTGTTTCAATTGCAAAGTCTATTAAGGTGAATGCAGAGAGTGCCACTAGCGCTGTTACCATGCAAGAATCAGTGTCTGTTATAATTAGACATTTTAGAAATTGAGATTGTAATCCCTCAATTTATGCATTGTTGGTATTACAGCAGGTAATAAGATTGATCACCTTTCCCCAGTACTTGCGATATACTAAACCAATGTAACCACTATCAATGCTATATGTATATCCTTTACTCCCCAGACTGCAAGTTGCCAAATAATAATCTTTATACTCATGGGTATGATTCCATCCGCTTCTTCACAGTACAAAAACATTTCACTCATGGTCTGGTTTGAAGCCACGATTTCTTTGGATATGTCTCCAGTTGGCCATAATATTATCCCTACTTAAATCTGCTTTGCATCCATAAAACAGCGCATATTTAAGTGCGCCTGAGCATCTCTTTGTTCTGCTCCAGTTGGCGACTTGATAAACACCAATTTAGCAGCAATGAGAATTTTAAACAAGATTCAGGCTTAAAATAAATCTATTATATTCCAATGCAGCTTTGAGCTTTCAGATGTGCTTACCAGTGCACTTCCTCCAAGGGAAAATCTAGCTTACAGTCCTCCTGGAATATACGCCTTTATGTAAGAAGCGTGGCATCTCGGACCTAACACACAGTCAGGTACTGTTGTGCTTGAAAGTGTACACGTCCAGGCAGACATTTTGATTTGTTTTATATCAAAGATGGGTAAGTTTATGGGCAAGAGCTCTGGTGTGTGTCGTCTGGTGCACACTGGGGTAGTCTTGCACATTTTTTCCTATGTGGCTTTACTGCAAATGGCAAATAAATGAATCTGAATCTGAATCTATAGCACAGTTCTTACACAAGGCAACTCAGAACATTTAACAAGACAAGATAGAAACAATCACACAAGTCATTCAAATATAAATAATCACAGAACATTGAAAAGAGTGACGGTATTCTGTAAGCCTCATGTTGAGTATGTACAGGTAAACAAAACTGTTTTTAACCTGGATTTGAACATTGTCAGAGTAAAAGCTCGTCTCACATTTTCAGGAAGACTTTTCCAGATTTTGGCTTCATAAAATGTGTTTTTAAATCAAGTCCTGTGATAGAGTGACAACAAAGAAGCCATTTCAAATCAAAACAACATTTTTAGGATTAAGGATATTTCTGTTTCCCCGCTGTTTTTCAATTTGTTTTCAATTTGAGAAAATCAAACAGGCTTTACAAATTTTGCAGCACCACGAAGATAACAAATGCCCACAAATTATTATATCAGTGGTGGTCAAATTACTCTCAAATTAGCTTTGCAGGAATTATAACATTTACATTATTGTTTGTTTATTAGTTTTTGTGATGAGTCTGGACCTATTTTTTCATTTTAAAATATGCACAGCCATTGCTATTGTTGTCAAGTTTGATGTGTAAGGCAGTGTGTCTTTTTGCTGAAGAAGAAGTTAACTCTCCCAGTTCATATGTCTCAGCACATTTACTGGACCAGGGAGTTTCTTGTGAAGTTACTACAAAAATAAATGAAAGGACTTTGGTGTGGCAGGGTGCCGCTAGAGTCTCTGACAGCGGTTAGGATGATTAGTGCTGAGCCAGTGAGTACCCGTCTGTTAAAGTCATTACTGCAGGTGAACGATGCACGGTGTTATGAAGAAGAAACCCCACCAAATAATTTTCCCAGTGTAATAAACCTGGTGGCACCTGCTAATCTCCATAGAAAGGAGGCCGCAGACACGGTAGCTTGGTTTCCCTACTAATCTTCTTGTTTTATTTCTAGTCTATTTTGTCTGGCCTCAAAATATGTTCAGTCGAGTTCATCAGGGCTGAGCAAACCAATCAGGGAAGAGGGGGAAGTAACTATTTTTCTTGAATTGGGTCATAAGCAAAAAGACGTCCGTTCCTATGACAAACTACTTCAATGCTTTGACAAATCTTTTGCATATAGAGTACGTCCATCCTTTTTTTCTTCTACTTTATCCCTTACCATTGGCACCAGTCTGATACCTATACACACTTCCTCCATCTCATCCGGAGTACTCCTGAAAGGTTTCCAGGCCAGCTGAGAGAAAGTTCCCGGGTCTTCCCTGGGGTCTGCTCCCGGTGGAACATGCCTGGAACAACACCCCAGGGAGACATCCAGGAGGCATCTGAAACAGATTCCTGAGCCACCTGAACTGGAACCTATCAACTCTAGTCCGAGCTCCTCCAATGTGACTGCAGATCCATGTTGTTTATAACTGAAGAAACGGCCACTTAAATTCTTCTTCCCTTTTTAGGCCGACATCATTTTTGTTGTATAGTTTGCATCAGAATTGTAGAATAGGGAGATTCCAAACAGATTCCAAACCCACTTTCAGCTATGCTTCACAACAGAAAGGGATATTGGAATGTCCAAGCTACTTTTACGGGAGCAACATTCTTATGTGGTTCTCTCAGACTTTTTTGCCTTTTAACACATAATTATTCTGAGGAGAAAACAATATGCACTGATCAGCCTGTTAAACAGTATACGGCTTAATGCTACTGAAAAACAGAACTTTTTTTACCCAAAAACTGTTCCCAATCCTACGTATGAGGTTCCATCACCGCTTTATCAAAATACAGTGAATCCCTCCTGATTTTCTCTCTGTCCACTCCTGCAGGAGTACATTATTATTCCACAGCTATACTCTGCTCAGCCTGGGGGAAGATATCATATACCATCTATATGCAGTCTGATAGTTTTGAGAGTTGCATATAATATTGTTGTCTGAGAAGTGGCACCTGCTTTACATTGCTCACCTTATCATATATTGATTATGGAGATTATGTAGACTGTGCATTTTTAAACTT